TATTAGGCCGATGATTGACAATTGTCCTTGCTTTTTAGCTGGAAGCATGGAAAATGATGTTATGCTAATCGTCTATTCTCTTTATTTTTTTATAGTCATAAATTTTGAGTAGACCTAAAAAATTGTGTAATTTTATTATATTTATTTTATATTAAACATATATAAAATATAAAAGTATCATATTATAATTTATATTCATATATTAAATATGAAATTTAATTTTTTATTTTTTAATCAGTTTATAATATTTATTAAAATTTAAGGTTATATCATTTTTATTTTTTTATTGTTTCATGTCATATCACCATGACATACAAAACAAATTTATAAGTGTTAATTTTTAAATATAAATTTATTAAGTAGACTCTTTAAACTACTGAGTTAATTTTTTTTCTTTATTATTTTCAAATGATTATCATTGGTGAACTATTAAAGTAGCACCAAGTTTTATTGGACTAATTACCCTACATGGTTCACGTGGGTTCGACCAATCAGAGTTTGAGTTAGGGGCAGTTTCCAAACCCTAGACAATGATTTTTGTATATAATTATAAACAGTCCTTAATTCATTTTTACCAACTGAAAAGGAGTGAATTCTCAACCAAAGCTGGAAAAACAGAGTAAAAGATTCTAACAGGTTGTACGTATAAAAACGCCAGTTAATTTACCCTTCAAACTCTGTTGGACTATTGGCAACTTTCATATGCTTTTTGGCTCTGATTTTAATTTTCGTTCTGCCAGTGCACTGAAACTCGATAAAGGGCATGGGAAGAGCATGAACCCTCGATCGGCTGACAAATGTTGCTGATGTTGGTGTCGTCTTCACGTGTATTTGGCAGCTCCCATGATCACAGATTTTTGTTCCTGGAATAGAACATCAATCTCCAGCACTGACGATCGAGAACCTGACCAGAAATATTTAAAATTATCATAAATTTGAGAGGAAGCCTAGAATCCTAGGATTGTGTTTTGTGCTCACATTACAGCATCACATGCTTTTACAAGCTTAGTGGAAGACATTATCGTATATATCCACATAATATGGGTTCAAGGCTCCATCCATCGGCAATTATATATAATCAAAATTCCTTTTTTTTCTTCAACTTTTGCGTGGAATATAATTAATTTATGTCAAAGGAAATGTAACTACATTGTTTGGATCTGTTCTTAAACAAATCAAATCTAGTCAAAAAATTCAAGCAAAAACTCCTCATATGAGTTGACATTTTTTAATTAAGTGGTATATTAAACATGTTTTGATAATTTACTAAGATAAGGGTTTTTTTTTTTTTTTTTTTTGGTTTTCCTAAAATGTGGGTTAGGACTCTGAATTGATTAATATGCATGACCACAATTTGAGGAAAAAAAAAAAGTGAATGCGCATATATATGATTGTTGAAAATTAGGGCCGGTTGATTTAAGATTTAAATTCTAACATTTATAAATTTTTTTTTATGGAGTACTGGAGCCTACTTTGTAAAAAAATTGAGGTTGTTTCATTTCTTTGGTTTTTTTTTTTTCTTTGCCTTTCCCATCTCTTCCATGAGGTATTTTTTTACTACTTATTTAAGTTAGTTTAAGGGGAGTAATTAATACATTAAATTGATTCCTTGTTTTTGCATAATTAATTAAATTAAATATAAAGCATCATAATGTATCATATAGTATGCAATTAACCCACTCCAAAAGTTGATATAGATTATTAATTGTTTCAATTACCTATTATATATCTGCTAACCTAGATTTATCATTATTTTATTGATTTTAAAATTGTAAATTTGCGATCCAACTCAACTTGCATTAACTTGCATGATCATCATATTTTAAATCATTCGAAAGCAGCTTATATGAATTATTATTCATTGGATTTAATTAACTTCAAACTAAACATTAAAGAAAGAATGTGCATATAAAAAAAAAAAAGCATCCATTTGATGGTAAATTGGTAATGCATCCACATCACTTATAACGACTTCACCCACTCCAACCCTTACCATCTTCCCCTTTTATTTTTAGCTAAGAACACATTTCTCTTTTAACCCCTTTTTCATATTTGATTAATATCTCCAAGCTATGGAAGCAAGAACTTACCTTTTGGTACCAAAGGCATCATGTGGTTTACTTAAAAAGTACAAGGAAATACATTTATTGATATTATTGCAAATCAATGTGCATTTTATAGAACAATCATATATTTAAACTTTGGTAGCCCCAAATTATACATATATAATTAGATAAACAAAAGTTTATATGAGTTTGCTTATAGCAATAATATATATTATTGCATGTTATCAATATGTTATCTCAACATGATCATGTGTTATATCTTTTTCTTTATTTTATATATATATTTGAGACATCAAAATTTAAATTTTGACCATTAAAATTAAATATTTAATACTCTATTAATAGATTACATGACAGTCGACAATAGATTTTTCTTTTACTTTATTTTTTTTATAAAAATAAAAGACAAAATTCTATAACATATATACTTACAATCTCCATCTTATGCCTACCTAAATAAGACAGCAAGGAACTAAAATTTTTTGCTACATTTAATGCTTTAATTTAATACAAGCTGACGATCTTGATGGGTTTTAGATGAGCTCATGGGTTGACAGTGCTAAAGCCTGGGAACTTGCTTTGTCAGAAAACAGAGAAAGAACACAGATCAGGTGCTTGCCTGCTCTCATACTTCTTACCATAAGAAAAAAAATAGTAAATAAATGAAGGGAATAACATATTGTAAGATTCTCTGGCTTTCGTTTTTTTTTTTTGGATACTTTTGCCCTGAAACTGGGATTGTTTTTTTGGCACGGTCTCCAACCACCCAATTGGGAAACCTTAACAATTGAAAAAAAGGAAATTCTTTTCCCAATCTGCACGTCATATTCTGACAAGTGGTGGCGCACACAGGTTTGTCAATTTAGTGACCCAAATAGCCCCTGTCTTCGCCTTCAGTGACAGACATGTCCCTCTTCTCCACATGAAATGACGAGGATGTCCTATAGAAATTATTGAAGAGTGATTCTCCCATGTAGGAAAAAGCAAAGTCAACATATCCAAAGCAAACAATTATTCTATGCTTGATTTCTATTTTTATTCTTCGATATCTTTTGAAGCGAAATTACATGGATCATCTGCTTTTTCTTTTTTAACATGGCCTTGATTCGACTTAAACTAAAATTGGAACATTGCCAACCCCACTATTATTTCTGTTAGGTGTTTTTTAGAAAGAAATTCATAATTTGAGTATAAAAAAATTATAAAAATTAAGATTTAAATTGCAAATATATTAATATTACTTTTTAAATGCATATCTTCTACATTAATTTTATTTTTCTAAGGTGGTGGGTTGGAAATCAAAGGAGTTGCTTTATTTGAATGACTTTAATGCTTAATTGGGAAGACATGGATTGTGGTTTGAGAAGTTACCAAAAAAGAACTCAAACTTCCTTTTATCCATTTTGAGAATTGCCCTAAATTAGCCAACAATATTAACTTTTAATTTGACCAACAAATTCAAGACACTTTGATAATCATCATTTGTTCTCCAACATAAAATTGACTATGAACATATTAGAACTAGAGATCAAAATCACTAACCTAATCAAGTTCTCTTACAGATTTGACCAATTATTAGTTTCTATTTCCAAATCAATTTTTTTTTTTACAATCATTTGATTAACTTTAATATTGGTTAGTTCAAATTATATCCTTTTTAATGAAACGTATAAGATTTTAATTATAAACAACACAATAAGACTTAAGATATATATATATATCTTAAATTTATTGTTATATATATATATATATATATAAAAGTTTCAAGCTTTAGTTAATTGTTTTAAAAATCAACAATAAAAAAAACTTGATGTAAAATAATATTTGAATTCTCCCTCCAAATTCTTTAATATCTAAAAATTTCAATTGAATTTCATTTTCACCAATAAATTGGAGTCTAAAGACCTACATTGTTATTAATCTTATCCAAGAAAATTTGTATCAACAATTAGTTTGAATTAATTTACTTTTCAATGTTATAAAATGGATATCTCCATTTTTTAATCACAAAAAAATTTACTAAAGTTAACAAAATTGAATTAAACTTTGCAAAGTTACTAATCTTTGAAATTTTGTACCCAATAGAGAGAAAAAAATGCAAGTTAATTGACTTATTTATGCCTTATAGTATAATAATAAATGAATAAATCTTATATATATCAATATTTTTTTACGTATTGATGGTCGAATATTTTAATTTTATAAGCGGAGTTAAAATTATGTCATATATATTAATTTTTAATTGTTTATTATATTTAAAAAAATATATACCATCCTATTTTTGTATTTATAAAATTCAAAAACTTCCCCATCAATAAATATGATAATTTCTAAATATATTTGTTGCATTCCGACACAACGATTACAATAGGTTAAAATTAGTTGTCCTTATTGAAAAAGACTGCTTCCGCAGCGGGTTGTCACTTTAGCCCACTCTCCCACAGCTGCATTTGGGGACACAACGGTCATTCTAAATTTTGAAAGGACAAGCAAATTTTGAAATTTTGTTTTTAAAAAGTAAAATAAAATTTCGTCAAAATAGGAAATACGGTCTACCTTCTACGCAATCGTACACCCACGTGTCTATCATCTATAGGGAAGACGGCTCGTTTCCCCAAATCAAAGCGATTAAACAAATTCTTCCGATTACTGATTGGTCCACGTGCCCTTGGGTCGTCCAAAACCACTGGAGGTTTCTATTCCAAAACCGCCTGTTTTGCATCCTCCCCTAAAACTTTCCTTATCTAGATGTTTTTTTATTCTGCAGCTGAAAAAAGACGTCTCTGAAACCTCGGCTTGTCTACTTTCTCCCCATTCCGCACTTCCTCTCCAAGTAAGGTTTTCTTTTTTAAAAAAAAAAAAAAACTAGAACTCTGTTTTCTTTTCTTCTCTTTTTTTGCTTATAAGCTTTTTATTATTCCTCTCTCCCTTTTTATCGAACATCGAGAGTTTTAATTTTAACTTTTCCTTTTTCATTTTTTTGATTGAATAAAAAAAGATAAATTGTTTGAGTACTGCTGAGCTATGGGGAGAGGCAAGATAGTGATAAGGAGGATCGATAACTCGACGAACAGGCAAGTGACTTTTTCGAAGCGAAGGAACGGATTGTTGAAGAAAGCTAAAGAGCTTGCGATCTTGTGCGATGCTGAAGTTGGAGTAATGATCTTCTCCAGCACTGGAAAGCTCTACGATTTTTCAAGCAACAGGTCCTTTTAAGATCTCTTATTATCGTTGATTTTTTTATGCTTAATTATTCTTTACTTGTCAAAATTTTTTATACTAGGGCTCTATTTTTATTTTCATACATAATATTTGTATGTTCTTCATAAATTTTTTTATATATTTTGTTTCGTTAAATATGTCAATAAAACGAGAGCATAATGTTGAAAGATGGTAGGAAAATTTAGTTGAGAGAGTTTTTTAGTTTTGATTACATGATTTTATGATTCAAAAAATTTATGGATTTTACTTTGAATTTAGTTAGAGTTGCCTTTGATTGTTCGTCTTCGATTTGATATTGTTTAGGGTTTGGTTGAGTTGGAATTCTTCGAAAGTGAGCGTTGCTAGTTTCATAACTTGGATAAGAGAGATAGTAATTTGAGTTCACTAATTGGCTTTGAGGTTTCTACAAAGACTAGCCATGGCTGATGGGAAGGTTCTATACAAGTAGAGTATAGTGAATTACTACTAATTAAGTTTCTGAAATTTCAAGTCGGATTATTTAAGCTCTTATTGAGAAGCATATATATCCCAGCTTTGCTTTATTCATAGGAACATGATTTATGACTCTTTTTTTTTTTGCATGATAAAAATTGGAAGGATTCGAATTTGAAATGTTAGTGAATATAATCCCTAGCTATAGCTTATAATTATAATAGGTGGTTGAAAAACTAAAGCAAATAGGGGTTGAATGTCACCTATATTAACACTGTCAAATATTGAATTTCTATCAGCTGAAATGACTTTTTTTGGTACAACTTAAAGCAAATTCCTACAGTTGAAAAAACCTTAAATATTTATTCTTTTTTTTTTCCCACCAATTGAGACACCAGATGCAAAACTTTAAAGACTTGTCAGTCAGGGTTCCAATTAATGCAAGGGGTTTAACCTTAATATCTTATAATTATTATATAGATAATATGTAAAAAGATATGCAGCACAAGAATTAATAGGAACCTTTGAATCTTAGGTGAAAAAGGTCAGGTAAGGGAAATCTTAACTCCGCATCTAGGTCAGTATCTAGTTGTCAAGAGGGAAAGAAGAAAGAAGCTAAAGAAAAGAAAAAGAATAGATAATGGAATCTGAAAAGATTATAAGTAAACCAAAATTTAAAAGCTCTCCATGCATGTTTGCCTTCAATGTTTGGGAAACAAGCTAGGAATTTAAAATATTATCTAAAGTGTTTTATCAAAAAATTATGGAAAGATGGCAGTGCATTATTGTTTAAAAAAGTTAAATACACAAAGTTTAAACATTGATTGAGCACAAATTTGAGATACACCTATATAGAAAATTCTAAATGCCAATGAAGCATTACTAAATTGGTTCTTAATTTCCCCTTTAAAAAGGATTGATGAAAATGCATATAATTTAGAGTTGCAATGTTAATTGTAAAGAGGCTATTAAGTAGCTAAAAGTTTTTGCTAACCCTTGGGGAAAGTTGTTGGAGGCAAGTTGATTACCTTATGAAATATGGTAGAAATGAAGATAAATAGATATATATTCAAGAGAGTATATCACCTACAATTATTTTAATATAATTAATCAATTATAATTCAAAATTACGTGAAATCTATCACTATTTTATCTGAAACTTACATTTATAAGTGATGAACCCTTACATAATTTTTTATTATAATTGAATAATTTTAAAATTATAATAAAAAGAATTGTAAGTGATATACTTTCCACATTTAGAGTCATGTGTCATTGAGGGATTGGTGATGATTGATAATGGCACACTGAGTTACAATAGTTTTTTCAATTAACACATAGCAAAATTGAGGCTTGTGTTTTATGAAGTCAAAATAAGCAAATGGGTGGTTAATGTAGTAACAAATTGCTTGTGTTTGCTTGGAGTGAGATAGAAAAAACATCATTTCTTGTGGGATTTCTCTAATGCTAAAGAAAGATGGGAGAGGAGGAAAAGAAAGTGATTTAAATCATTATAATTATGAGGTCAATGAAAGAAAACAAAAGACAATTCAAATTTCTAAACTTTAATTAGGAATATGCTAACTATTTCCTTAATTATAATGTTTTATATTACAATTAAATATACTTTTTTTATGATTACATGGGCAGTGAAGTACTATTTTAAGTAAACATCATTAGGAAATTTCAACTTAGCTGCAATATTTATTCATTGAAAATTTGAAAAAGGAGGCAATACTATTCCTAATTCAATACCAACGCTTAATAATGAAAATATATAGGATAAAAATAGACTATTAAATTTCATTCTGATAGCTAGCCGGCTGGTTTACAGTTACATAACAAATAAAAACAAATAAACATTTATAACCTATGAAACAATATATCACATTTTGTGGATTAATAATATATATAGAATTAATAATGATATTTAAAGATAAAGAATAAACAATGAAAACCTTATTAAATAATCTATTTAAATTAAATATTTAAAACTTATTTGCTTAGTACTAAGACTTTTGTAAATGTATATAACATATTTTTTATATTTGAGAGATTTGAACTTTAATTATCAAAATTAAGAATTTAACACTTTACTAACAAATCACATGGTTTTTGATCATACATAACACATATTAAGGTTGAGGCTATTGGTTTTGATAATTAATTTAATATATTATAGAGGATTAGGAAATCTAAAGAACTTGATATATATATATATATATATATATATATATGAACCTTTATTACCCTAAAAAAAAGAACTTTATGTGTGTTTAGGTAGAAAGAATATGCTGTTCTTCTCCACATTTTAAATTATAGGCAAGACTAATACTTTTCCACCATCAATTACTCTCTTCATTAGTTTTTGGAGAAGAAGAATGCTGATCAGTTTTCTTAAACTTTATAGAGAATATTTCATGAATAAATGAAAGGAAAAAAAAAAAAAACTCCAAGACATGAATAAACCAAATATGCATAGTACTGTAGAGCATCGAATTGTTTCTTATCCTAGGGTTTCACCATTAGAGTTCCATGATTAGGGCTTTTTGGTTAAAATGTAAGATAGAAAGATAGAAATAAAATAAAGACAACACTAATCTAGGTTTTGTAGATAATATTAATTTAGGAGAAAGGAAACTTCCCAACCTCAGCCTCAAGTTAATTAGGTCCAGAGAGCTAAACCAAGGTTTAGAGTTCAGCCTTGTTTATAAACATTTCAAATAGTAAAAACACTAGAAAAGAAATCAAAATCAAAAGAACCCTTATTCATCTAAATGGATTTTGATCTAAACTTTTCTAAAAAAGAGTGCAACAGCCAACATGGGACATTTCCATATTCAAAACTGAATTATATCTATGTTAGGGATAAGTTAGTCTTTCACTTTATTTTCATTGCCATAGGCACTAATTATAATGGACCCCTAAGAAAAGTTAATATCCAATCATCTTCATTTTAGATGTTACACCCAAAGATCGATGTTCATATAAAATATACAATTTAAATACAATATCTTGCCCATAGAAATTTGGCTGACATTGATGGTTTTCCAAACAAGTTCACCACTTGCTCCTTGTTTATTACATTAATTCGTCAAACCCAAGTCCTAGGTATCTTTATATTATTAATTCTTTTCATAATTAACTGGTCTGTTTGGAATAACTCAATTCTTCCCAACGATTTCCTTGTATATGGTGGATCGGCAAGCACAAAGTTCTTAAACATTTTAGCTGGAGAACTACTGCCGATCTAACTTTGTAACGTTAAAATTTTGGATGCTTGATTCTCAATTTCTCATTTTAAGCGAAGCAAAGTGTACAATCGGTGCATGTAAATCTAGTCTTTGGAGCTCTTTCTTTTTCTTAATAGCTTAAATAAAAAAACTATCTTTAAACTAAAATTTTCATTTAAACTTCTATTATTTTATTACAATTAATTAAAGACTCAAACATTAATTTTCACCAAATCAAGCCTTTAAACCTTTACTTTAACCTACTTGAAATTTTTATTAGATAAAAATTGATAATGGTGATTAACCAATCTTCATCCAATAACTGCTTAATTGAATGACATAAATATTAAAAATCTCAATTAATTGCGATAAAATAATGAAGGCTTGAATGATTATTTAATTTAGGTTTAAGAACATTTTTTAAAATATATTTTAGCCTTTCTTGGTCTCTCTCTCTCTCTCTCTCTCTCTCTCTCTCTATATATATATATATATATATATATAAAATATCATCCACATCCACATTAATATTAAAGAATAATTAATATCCTCTTCAACAATTAAAAGAAATTAGAAGGTCTACCTTCAAATGGTTTTGAATATTAAGGAAATTTTATCTTTAAGGAATTGGCCTATAATTTATAAAAATCCCTCTTCCTTTCATGAATTTCTGTGAAATTACAGAAAGAAAATCGATTGAGCCCCACTATATTTTTTAGTTATTTAATACTTTACAATTACAATTAAATAATATTTAGCATACACAATCTCATTTGAAATTTAGAATGAGTGCTTATCATGCTACAAACTTTAGTATGCAGTTAGAGTCACATTCAATCGCTCAACCAAACATTTTCTTTCCAGTTGTCTCTTAAGAATACAAATCTTAATTACAGTTCAAGAAAACCACCAAGACTTTGTCAAGTATACGCTTTTTATTGTTTTCGAAGTCAATGTCTAGTCTAAGCATTATTAACATAGAGGAAAGAAGAAAGAGAGCAAAGGGAAATGAGAAAAAGGAATCAAAGAATTAAGCCGAGGGCGATAATTGTAAACTTCATTATTCGTCCGTTATCTTTTTGAAAAACTTTATTTTCCGTCCCGATCTATAAGAATTTCATCTTCCATCCATGAGCTTAATTTGTTCCGAGTCCATTCATCCATTAATGTAGCCTTTAAATTTAAGCAAAATTTGTCATTCAAAACACCATGTAGCATTTTGTCCTCCATCGTCCATCTAAATTCTTTAAGAAAAGGATGAATTTGGAACCAATTTAAAAGATTACCAATGAAGAACTTATATTTTTATATCATGAATG